TACATCCTGCCTGCATCATAGTGATTGCTTTTCCCATTATATTGGCTGCAAGCAAGGTGATACTTTAGGTCTTGAGAAGGTGCAACATTCCACACATTTCATAGCAAGTCATATGTTATCCAGTGCTGTTCAAAGTCCTGATAGTTCCTCTGTGATATGGGACTCATTGGCAGAGCTTGGGAATACAGTGGTGCCCCGCATAGCGACGATAATCCGTTCCAAAAAAATCGTCGCTATACGGATTCTTTGCTATGCGGAACAAAAAAGCCCATAGGAATGCATTAAAACACGTTTAATGTGTTCCTGTGGGCAAAAAAACTCACCGTTATGCGGAAATCCTCCATGCGGCCACCATTTTCGCTGCCCGGTAAGCGAGGAAAGTGTGCGAAAACACTGCGGGCGGCCATTTTTTTCTGGTGGCCATTTTAGAACTGCCAATCAGCTGTTAGGAAAAACATCACTATGTGAAAATCAGTAAGTGAAACAGCTTACCGATCGTCGCAAAGCGATGTTTTACCATTTAAAACATCACAATGCGAGCACTTTTGCCATCGCAAAAAACACATCGCTATGTGGATTTGTCGTTAAACAAATCACTCGTTAAGTGAGGCACCACTGTAATCCTTTTTTGGAGGGGGTATATAAATCCCCAAATCCCCCAGCCGCCACAGTCAAGCTGGTTGGGGAATTCTTGGAATTGTAGCCCCTTCCCCCCAAAAAAGGAATTTTTCCATGCCTATTTTGCAAGATCTGTTCATTGCTAGTCATGATTGGGCTCTCTGAGAACAAGCCTTGAAGGAACCTTCCACTCATGTGCTCAGATTTGGGAGGCTTCCATTGCATCCAGAACAATAAGATGCAAAACGCTTGCTATGCAGGCCAGGATCAAACTCTGGTTTGAACTGAGCTGCGCATACAGTGAAAACATCTACTTTCTCTCAGTCCTGCTCACTTCAAGATTTTTGTGTCATTTTTACAAACACAGGAAAGTATAGCACATACGGCTTACCCTGAAATAATGAAAAAGCTATTTAAGAGACCAGCTGTCAAGGCAGCAGGGCTGCTTGTTCATGCTGTTTTTACAGCTACCTCATGTGTTCACATATCGTCAGTCAGTTGTGTTTGATTTTCCCAGTTATCCAAAATGAAAGAATTTTGCAATCATCAAATGCCCCTTGAACGTTTGAAGAGGTCACACGCCAAAGGTGCCATCATCATGATGGAAGCTGTACTTTGAAATATAGGAAGAGGAACACAACTGATTTTTATTGAGTTCTCCTTTTTCCCCACGAGAAGAACCGTAATTCAGTGCAAGCTCCTGCCAGAGGAAGAAGACACAGGTGATTTTTGCAGTTCCTCACAGCACCTACCACTCTATTCTAAAGGGTCTCCCAGTCCTCCAGAGGGGGCTGTAGTTTGGTGGAGTTGAGCATTGCCACCTACCCCCAAGAGGAGCATCCTCTGAGTGAAGTCCTGCTCGTGGAAAAACTCACAATCCCAGCTGTTTACATGCGCTTTGTTTTCACTAAGAAAAACCTGGCCCTTATCCCACTGTGGTAGAATGTACGTTCCAGCTCTTCTGCTTGATAGAAGTCATGTGATTCTATGTCTAGGGAAATGTTTTTGTGTGTTCATGCCTGGCTTATTCTCTTAGTGACAGAGTCCCTACCTAACATGATGAAAGCCAAAGTTAGATAGGCAAAGCAAAGGTGTGTGGGGAGAATCAGGTTTGAGAAATGATCCCTGTGTGTATAACTATGAAATAGCAGTATTAGACGTTTTAGTGGTCTATAGGAAAAGACTGTACTGCATAAAATAGGCTGGATTTGAGGAAGGAATTGAAGGAAGAAAGGATTGAAGATGAGGCACAGTAGAAGGCACAGAGATGATAGCGGATTAAATAAAAACACTTGGAAAAGAGGCAGAGAGATCACATAGCTGTGGCAACAAGAACATGAAATGTAAGGGCCAGTAGTTCCATTCTAATGCAGCTGAGCCAGTATAGCATGCTAAGAAATAAGGGTGTGTTTATTGTGAATGGAGTGAGATAAGTTAAGTCATTTTGCCTTTAATTGGAGATATGGAAAGAGGGGTGTTTGACAAAAGAGGAAGAAGTTTGCAATGATGTATTGAGATCATTCAGCAGTGCTCTGGTTACTCCTGTCCTCTGAAGATGCCAGTCACAGAGACTGGTGAAACGTTAGGAAGAACAACCTTCAGAACATGGCCAAGGAGCCCGAAAAACCCATAACAACCATTAGATCCCGGCCGTGAAAGACTTCACAAATACATTTTTTTGTTCGGACACCCTGGCCATCGGCCTGTAGTGTCCCTCAGACGAGGTACCACTGTATCTACATGAAACCCCTGGGAGAGGTTGTTCATAGTTTTGGGGTTTGGTATCACCAGAACACGGCCAAAGAGCCCGAAAAACCCACAACAATCATTAGAACAAAAAAAAATTGTTCAGGTTTTTTTTGTTGTTCAAAATATGTTTTATCTTGAACATATTCTTTTTCTCTTCTGTATGTTGTAGCAGAAGCAGCTTTTTTTAAAAAAAGAAAATTTCTCTGGTTGTCTTTAAAAAGGAAAGGGGAAAATATCTACACTGAGTTTGTTCAGCCATAGTACCAAACCATAGTCTGGTTTTATAAGAATGAGTATTCAGCGTGCACCCTGCTCCTGTCTGTGAAGGAATTCCTTCCATCTTTTCTTGATTTGAAGCAACAATTTGTTCTTTTGGCTGAACCAGCAAAATGGGTGTTGTGTTTACTTGCTGTGAAAACAAGGATCAAATCATAGTTTGCAATCCTCACTTGCCTGTCCAGCAGAAACTATATGTTGGCAACTTGCAAAAAAAGGGTAGCAAATTGTGATTTGCTTTAGATCAAGAATGCATCGATGGATAGTCACCACATTGAGAAGGGATAAGGAATGCATAAGCCCAAGACTCCTTGACTGCTTTTCATATGGTTGGGTGTGATGGATATACTGTACAGTGGGGTCTTGACTTACAAACTTAATCCATATTGGAAGGCAGTTCGCAGGTCGAAAAGTTCTTAAGTCGAATCTGCATTTCCCATAGGAATGCATTGAAAACCATTTAATCCGTATCTGCTCTTTTCGTCCATAGAAACTAATGGGAAGCTGCTATTCTGCCTTCTGCCACTAGAGGGGGATATTTTTTCTTTTTTTCTTTTAACCTAAGATGACTTAGCTTTTTAAAAAAGGGAAAAAAAGAATTCGTAACTCGAATCTAAGTTCGTAAGTCGAGTCCATATATTCCTATGAGAGCAGTTCGTAAGTCGAAACGTTCGTATGTCGAGCCGTTCATAAGTCGAGACCCCATTGTACTAGCATGTTGTATCTGTCCTTAAGCTTCTCTGGAAAGACCTACCGTATTCATCTCTTAAGGAAGACATAAAAATTTAATGAAGATCTAAATTCCATATTTTTTTCTATATTACGAGAAGCCCCCTTGCTCTGTAGACAAAGAGCTTCATAAAAATAGTTTAACTTCTGCATGATACAATCCTGAGAGTGCTTCCTCCTAAATAGTTATGTCAGACTCAGCTGGGAGGTTTTGGGGTTGTGGCCAAGTTAAATCACTGAAGTGTTTGAAATGCTGATCTTGTGGGGATTAGTGATTTTATTTTTTGTTTTAGTAGTTAGACAGTATGTCTGTCACTTTAGATTGCATTTGTGGTATCACTACTCTGAAGTAGTTATTTTCTCTGTTCAATAGGAAAGCTACTTAGTTGTAGTTAACCATTTAGGATTTATAAAATGTGAATAATCTATTTTGTTCTGCGAATGCTGGTATCTATAATAATTTTTTCTTCTTCTTCTGTTTTATAGCATAAATCATGTAGAAATGACTGTCATTCTGCATTTTATCTATGGAGCAATTTTGGATTTCCCAGATAAAGTAGATGCTGGGTATGTGTCATGTTAAATTACTTCTAATCTCATACCATGCCTGTTATGATTGATCTACAGTCAGAATAAAAGTACATCACAGTTTCTATAAATGAAATGGCTAATGCACCAGAAAAAACACAATTACACTATGACTATATTCGACTCACTGAAGGATAAAGGAGTAGGGGCAATATCTTGTTTTATTTTGTGGCTGAACTGATGAAATAGTAGTAACAAAGAGATTTCTGTGTAGGAAGAAGACAAAATGTGGTTCCTGAATGCCTGTATTTGTCATTATACAGAAACAAACTTGCTGTTTCATTGAAATTTATATAATCGCATCTGTGACCTTTGTGCTTCATAAATCTTCTGCTAGCTGTTCTTTAAGATTTTCCCAACCCCAAATGGCTATCTTCAGATTGCTGTTGCTTGTTTATTTAGAAGAGTGAAGCCTGCAAAAAACTGGATCAGGCTAGCATTTGGATGGGAGGTTGTTTATGTCTTGCATGCGTTGCAGAAGTAAGGATTCTAACTGCTTATTGTTGGTTAGGAGAACAGGATGCGAGATTACACAGTTCCTCCCTTCATTTTTTCCTCATTTTTCAGGAGTACCCCTCCACCTGTATATACACATCTACATTTCAGGAATATGTCAGTGCTGAAAGGAGCAGCCAGTTAGCTGCCATCCCTCTAATTCAGAGTTTGTTAACTGTCTTCAAACTCTAGTGTCCAGTTTGGATGAAGGAGATTTTTTTTCAGTTTCATATAAAGATTAAGATTAGCCCCTTATGATGTTACCCATAGTTAATTTAAATTATTCATAGTTAAGGATACCTAAGGGAAGCAGGTACTTTCTGTAGAGAGGAAGGTCATCTGTGCGAAGATGGAGGGAATGTGGCTTATTTCTAGTCTAATACTTAAGACAGCAGGAAGGTGACGTACGAACTAGGCCAAAGGGGGTGGTTGTTTGAGATTTTAACTGAACATATGGAAGGAGATAATCTCTTAAGGTTTTTTTTTAGATAAGACCCACACATGTACCACTGTTTAGTAGATTGCCTCAAGTGTAAGTATAGTGTGAAGTATTATTTTGTTTACATATAGAAAAGGAGCTTCCAAAAACTAATCTGGAGACAAGAATGATCTCTTGGCAATTTCTCATGCCTCTGAATATCAGTTGTGGGGGAACAACAGCAAGAAAAGCTACTAGTTTCATATCTTGCTTATGGAATTCATATCAGCATCTGTTTGGCCACTGTAGGAAACAGAAACCTGGACTAAATAGGCTGAACATCTAATTCACAACGCTCTTCTTCTGTTCTGCTTCCAGTAGCATAGGCAGCTGCTGTTAAATGGCACATCTACTGTTAAAAATCTGACTTGCCACAGTCTGTGAGTACAGATTCAACAACTAGAGTGGTCGCAAGACCAGATAGGCGGGATATAAATAGAATAAATAAATAATCTCCCAACTTCAGACTTCTTATTATGTTGCACTTCTGCTGGTGCTGTTGTATTTCTGTATTATTCCTTGTTTCTTCATCTGTCTTCTATGGGGAAAAATTCCTTTTAGGTGTCTGGCTGTGGAGCCAGAATTGGGAGTTCAGTTCCTCACTGTGCCTCCTTGACAGGGGCTGGACGCGATGATCCATAGGGCCCCTTGTAGCTCTGCAGTTATAAAATCATCATCATCACCTGCCTTTCTGATTTATTCTCTTTTTTTATTCGAATAGGATGCAGTCCTGTAGTTACATATCTGGGAGGAAACCCTAAGTTGCCAAAAATTTTGCTTATCCCATTACAGTAGGTCTTCCCTCAGTCAGTTCTGCAGTGAAAAGTGTGACTACACAGCTGATCTTACCAGAGTTTCCGTGGTGGCCCAGCCTGAAATATAGTGGAGCCCTGGTCATGTCAGGCAAATGGGGCACTGCCCCTCCTCAAGCTGAGACTGTCCCTAGTCAACCTACTCTATGGGCACAAATCATGTTTTGAATTCACCTTAAAGGCAAAATGTAATTGCTTATGTTTGTGTTTAAATATAATTTATTTTTTATGCCTGCATATAGTTCCCAGTCAATATTATGCATGCCTATTTTTGAACATAGAAGTTTTAATTTCCAGTAGGTTGAAACAGTGGCCCCAGTAAAAAAGATAGAAAAATTGTCCATCTTCCCCAGTGTTGGCAGTGATGATCACCTCCTGTCTCTGGGTCAATGATAATGAAAGGCAGTACACATTAATCTGTTTTTTTTAAACAAAACAAAAACAAATAATTGAGACATGTATAGACAGGAATTTCCCATTTCCTATACTGTGTGCCTTTTGTGAGACCATGAAAATGAAAGGAAAAAAAAAAAAGCACGAGACCTCCTTGCCATTCTTCTGCAAGGTGATAATGCTAAAAGGAGCTGTATTTTAGAAGTTTACTCTGGACTTCTGGGTACCCCGTTGTGTGATTAGATCTGCATAAAATTGATTTATTACTGTGTTGCTTTGTCAGCTAGATAAGCCGGATATGTGAGGGTTCTTCCGTGAAAGCCACAACAACATTGGCACAATGGAAGGGGGCAATCAATTTCTATGCTTAGGAGAATTTAACAGAATAAGAGACTGAGTGGATTATTTTCCGTCTCTCTCCCACACCACATCAGATTCTGTATTCATTTTGAACGTATTTTTAGACCACAGTGTTTGTTCCTTTACTGTATTTCTTTGTATATATAACCTGTCTTTATAATTCAGTTTTCCTCTAATTAAATACCTTTTAAAAAAAATCTTAAAGTGTTTAACATGAATAATTCAGAGATACGAAAAGGGTGGAGTGTAAAGTGGTCATAAGAAGGTTCACACTTTGTATTGATGCATCATCAAGAAAGAAAACAGCTCAACTTGATACACACTAAGGGTATTTTGAGGTGAAGAGGAGAGGGGGAGGGAGAAACTGATCCAGACCTTCTCTGACAACTTTGATTACTGTAATCTGCATAGAATTATGGCAACGTATCTGCTGTGTCACAAAGGTGTCAAAGACTTCCCAAGCCACTTCTCTTCTGGGAGTTGTCAGAGAACAAGTGAAGAGAAGGAGGTCATGAGGAGTTGGAGACATGTTTCTAGTGAGGTCAGTGGAGGATCAGATGTAAGGAGCACTGTTCATATAGTGCACGTACAGTATATGAATAGTCATCATTTCATTTAAAGGTAGAGCAGTGACTTCTAGTGAAAATTTGCTCTTGCTGAGGTCAGAAATAAGAGCAGCCTTCTTCTCCCTCCTGCACCATAGTTAAAAGTGTTAATTAATGTTGTCCAAAAGCTAATTCCCTTCCTAGACTACTCTACCTCCTCATCTGATGAGCATTACTGAGACCTGGATGGGAGAGGAGGGTGGTGTGCCCCTCTCCCAGCTGTGCCCACCTGGGTACTTGGTCCAGCACCAATGTCGCTCAGAGGGTCGGGGAGGGGGGAGTTGCTATAGTCTATAGGAGTTCTAGCTATTTGACCAGGCTTCCTATCCCTTTGAGAGGAGGTCTTGAGGGCCTGTATTGTGTGTTGGGCTTGCAAGACAGATTAGGGATTCTGTTGGTGTACCGCCCACCCTGCTGTGTACCAACAGTCTCTCTGCCTGAGCTGATGGAGATAGTCTCGGACCTGGTGTTGAGAACTCCCAGGCTCTTGGTGCTGGGGGATCTCGGCATCCATGCCGAGGCTCCCTTGACTGGAGCGGCTCAGGACTTCATGGCCGCCATGACAACCATGGGGCTGTCTCAATGTGTCATCGGCCCAACACATGAGAAAACCTTGGACCTGGTTTACTCAACGGGACTGGAAGATGGTGGTTTGGATGTAGAGGGGCTGGTTGTGACCATTTCCTGGTCAAGTTTAGTCTGTTAGCTTCTTCTCCCTTCTACAAAGGTGGGGGATCTGTTAAGATGATCCACCCTCGGAGACTAATGGATCCGGATGGTTTCCTGAATGCTCTGGGGGATTATCCGTCTGATATGGTCGGCGCTCCTGTTGAAGCTCAGGTCACCCTATGGAATAGGGAGATGACCCGGGCAGTTGACACGATTGCGCCTAAGTGCCCTCTCCCTGCACGCAGAGCCCAGACATCTCCTTGGTATACTTCTGAGCTGCGGGCGATGAAGGGAGAGGGGACATGGCTGGAGCACAGGTGGAGGAAATCCCGCTGTGAGTCCGATCAAACAAGACTTAGAGACCATTATCAGGCCTATTTTGTGGCAATACGGCTGGCGAAACGGCAATATTTCTCCAACCATATTGCTTCCTCAGAAAGTCGTTCAGCAGAGCTGTTTTGGGTGGTCCGGGATCTTCTTCAACTGGGAAATCTGGTAGAGGTCCTGGACTGCTCGTCAGCTCGCTGTGATGAGTTTGCCATTCATTTTGAGGGGGAAATTGCTCAGATTTGCAATGGGTTGGACGCTGTTACTGCAGAATCAGAGGATGTGTCCAGTGTGCCGTGCTTAGGTCAAGTATAAAGGGATGAGTTTTAATTGTTGAGATCTGAGGATGTGGGCAGGGTGCTTGGATCTGTCCGTTCTACCACCACACTGCTCGACCCTTGCCCATCTTGGCTAATTGGAAGATCTGCCAGGGGGGTTTGCACCTGGGTCCAGGAGGCCGTGAATTCCTCTTTGAGAGAGGGAGTGGGCCCTAGCACCTTGAAAGAGGTGGTAATTCAACCATTCCTAAAAATCCAAACCTGGACCCAAGTCTGTTGGTTAACTACCGACCAGTGGCGAACCTCCCTGATTTGGGCAAAGTATTGGGGTGGGTTGTGGCCAGGCAATTCCAGCCTCCTGGTTGAAACGGATTTTCTGGATCCATTTCAAATGGTTTTCAGGCCGAGTTTTGGTACAGAGACTGCCTTGGTCGCCCTGTACGATGACCTTTGCTGAGAGAGAGAGACAGGGGGAGTGTGATCCTGTTGATACTCCTGGACCTCTCAGCTGCTTTCGACACCATCGACTATGGTGTTCTTCTGGATAGGCGGCTGGGTTGGGAGTTGGGGGCACTGTTTTACAGTGGTTCCGCTTCTTCCTGGCTGACCGCACCCAGAGGGTGGTGCTGGGGGACAGTTGCTCTGCCCCATGGCATGTGTGTCATGCAGTTCCTCAGAGCTCGATACTGTCCCACATGCTGTTTAACATCTACATGGAACCGCTGGGAGAGGTCATCAGGAGGTTTGGGCTGAGGAGTCAGCAATATGCTGACGACACTCAGCTCTACCTCTCGTTTTCCACCAATCCAGGTGAGGCAGTTTTTGTGCTGAACTTGTGTCTGGATCTGATAATGGACTGGATGAGGATTAATAAATTTAAACTCAATCCAGACAAGACAGAAGTGCTGTTATTGGGTGCTTTGCCAGACAGGCTGGAGGCCATTTCCCTGCCCTAAATGAGGTTATACTCCCCCTAAGGGACAGGGTCCGCAGCCTGGGAGTGCTCCTGGACCCCAATCTAGCTGTGAAAGCCCAGGTGGACTTGGTGGCCAGGGGCGCCTTCCTTCAGCCCCACCAAACTACAATGGCCACCAACAACCACAGCTAAAATGTGAAGTTTGAACTCTACAACATATTTAAATGGTATATCCTTTAATCAGATTGAAAGAATGCTGTATTTGTTAAATGCTGTAAATGGTAAAACTGTGTCTTGCATAGTTTTTATTTATTTGTTTGTTTGTTTGTTTGTTT